TATGTATATTTGTATACACGCATATACATGTGATATGTGACATACGTGTTACAGCTCAACGGGACATGCAATTAATGACGCATGCCAATTAGCTTTTTCAATAAAACGCAAGAAAAGCGTTTGCATACCGGCTCTATAAATATTTTTATTTTGAATATGTAGCTGGTAATTGCTATTACTAAAAAAAGTGACTATACATTCACGATAAGAAAGGTAAAATATTGCCTAAAAAAAGTATAAATAACTAGAATAGATAGGACAACATTATCAAATTTTTTCCTCATAGACATACAATGTTACAATAACCAATTTTTAAAGACTATTATTTAATATTTACAATATAATTAAAATTATTTTAAATGTATAATACCCTGCACAAATTACACGTCGAAGAACAAGTATATAAATATATAAATATATATATTTTTTAATGACTAGCTCTAATTCTTTTCATACAAGTGACAAATCTCGTCGAACGCGAATGTTTATTCCGAATGCGAATACAAATGAAAAAGAAGAAAAGATCACGACACGCAAATTTCACTAGAACGAGAGAAAAGAAAGGGTATTATAGCAAACTTTACTTAATTATTTAATTATTTAACACTCAACAAATGAAACTGATTGTTGTTTCTTTTTTTTCTTCAATTACCATCATAGTTTAGTATCAAAAGTGAGGCCAAAAAATGAAATAAATATCTTTATTAGGTCCGTTTTTATTACAGATTATTAATATTAAAATATAATAGATGTTACTAAAAAGAAGATAATACAATTTATATATCATGGTATAAGCGATCCTCGAATCGAGTATAGAAGGTTCGAATGAAGATTGACAAAAGATAAGAACGATGACGATGGACGAACCAGGATGAACGCGGAAGAGATACTGTTACAAATACAAATTATATTATATTCCGTCTCGCGTCTAACGAGCAAGCAAACAAGATATTTTCATTTTCGTCCCGGATCGCGTGTACTATGATATCATTTTCAAAGTACTATTTAGAATTTAATCAATTTAGCGCTATAACGATGCATTTTTCAATTGTGTTTTAAATGCATTCTTTATAAGTACAATAACGACACACCAGATTCAAACATAAACAATGTATGTATTTATCGTCGCATTCTTCGAATATATTTTATATTAAATACTATTCTTATATCCCAATTCCTTTTACATCGTGTCGATGATATTATATGTAGACGTGTTATATTGTTACTCTTACAATACAACAATAAAATCTTGCGAATTCTCACAACATTCTTGTAATAGNTATGTATATTTGTATACACGCATATACATGTGATATGTGACATACGTGTTACAGCTCAACGGGACATGCAATTAATGACGCATGCCAATTAGCTTTTTCAATAAAACGCAAGAAAAGCGTTTGCATACCGGCTCTATAAATATTTTTATTTTGAATATGTAGCTGGTAATTGCTATTACTAAAAAAAGTGACTATACATTCACGATAAGAAAGGTAAAATATTGCCTAAAAANATGTATATTTGTATACACGCATATACATGTGATATGTGACATACGTGTTACAGCTCAACGGGACATGCAATTAATGACGCATGCCAATTAGCTTTTTCAATAAAACGCAAGAAAAGCGTTTGCATACCGGCTCTATAAATATTTTTATTTTGAATATGTAGCTGGTAATTGCTATTACTAAAAAAAGTGACTATACATTCACGATAAGAAAGGTAAAATATTGCCTAAAAAAAGTATAAATAACTAGAATAGATAGGACAACATTATCAAATTTTTTCCTCATAGACATACAATGTTACAATAACCAATTTTTAAAGACTATTATTTAATATTTACAATATAATTAAAATTATTTTAAATGTATAATACCCTGCACAAATTACACGTCGAAGAACAAGTATATAAATATATAAATATATATATTTTTTAATGACTAGCTCTAATTCTTTTCATACAAGTGACAAATCTCGTCGAACGCGAATGTTTATTCCGAATGCGAATACAAATGAAAAAGAAGAAAAGATCACGACACGCAAATTTCACTAGAACGAGAGAAAAGAAAGGGTATTATAGCAAACTTTACTTAATTATTTAATTATTTAACACTCAACAAATGAAACTGATTGTTGTTTCTTTTTTTTCTTCAATTACCATCATAGTTTAGTATCAAAAGTGAGGCCAAAAAATGAAATAAATATCTTTATTAGGTCCGTTTTTATTACAGATTATTAATATTAAAATATAATAGATGTTACTAAAAAGAAGATAATACAATTTATATATCATGGTATAAGCGATCCTCGAATCGAGTATAGAAGGTTCGAATGAAGATTGACAAAAGATAAGAACGATGACGATGGACGAACCAGGATGAACGCGGAAGAGATACTGTTACAAATACAAATTATATTATATTCCGTCTCGCGTCTAACGAGCAAGCAAACAAGATATTTTCATTTTCGTCCCGGATCGCGTGTACTATGATATCATTTTCAAAGTACTATTTAGAATTTAATCAATTTAGCGCTATAACGATGCATTTTTCAATTGTGTTTTAAATGCATTCTTTATAAGTACAATAACGACACACCAGATTCAAACATAAACAATGTATGTATTTATCGTCGCATTCTTCGAATATATTTTATATTAAATACTATTCTTATATCCCAATTCCTTTTACATCGTGTCGATGATATTATATGTAGACGTGTTATATTGTTACTCTTACAATACAACAATAAAATCTTGCGAATTCTCACAACATTCTTGTAATAGAGGAAAATAGTAGACGATTAAACAATTATTAATACACTAGATCGGTAACAAAGTACTTGTAAAGAATGCTGTCTTCACAGACTCTGCGTAATCATACGGTTGCCTTTGAATTTAACGTAAACGATAGGAAGAAGTTTATAAACGACAACAGTGATGATCGTTTCGTGATTTAGAATCAAAGAAATCTACTTTGTGTCCCTGCATGGGATTGGACTGATGATAGTCAACTCGTAACAAGAGAGCAAAACCGAAAAAAGTATTTTATTTTTATTTATCAAACCCGTGTAAGGTACGCTATGATTACGAAGAGCTTCGTGAAAATCTAGGAAAGATATTCCTGAATGATATAATATTGAATATTATAAACAATTACAATATATATATACTATATATATATACTATTTTACTTATAACGATAACACGATTAAAAATAATAATTATTAAGAACATAAATTATTGTGAAAGCAACAAATTTAGCTACAAAATAGGGTAATAGGAGAGTAACAAAATAAATTAATTAGCTAATATTCTGTACTAAAGAAAAACATACAGTTGAATATTTATATAATACTGCTCCAGTTGTTGGTTTCAGTGATTGTTTTTCTTCCAACACGTTTATACGTTTCACACGCAAAAAGGCACGATGTTTTTTTTAAGTAATTCATAAATGTTAAACGGATTGTTCGAAATCAGGGATTTGTAAAAGTTAATTTGTTTCTTATTTTAATCTACTGCTTGAAATTGCTATGTTAATTCTGCGACAAATAATTGTTCCGCAAATTCTAGATTTTGTAGATCGAACTATCTTTTTATTCTAGAAGAGCAAAATGTTGTATCGTTTCTTTGAACACTGCACAAACAAACCAACAATAGGGCAGATCAAATTAAACAATATATTTTTGACAAGTTACAATAATACAAATACAAAACATTACATGCTCTGTTTGTGCGAATGATTCTTCTCCTGTGTTGACCATTATTAGAGCCAGAAGAACCATGTTACAAGTAATTGTTTATGCACTAGTTGAACGTTACAGAGATTGCCTGTTGCTTCGTTTTTTTGTGTGTATTTGTGATCAAAACAAGATGGAAAGCGAGAGAGAGAGAGAATAGACGAGCGCGAAAGAGGAAAAATGTAGAAAAAGAATGAGAGAGAGAGAAAGGAAATGAAAGACGATACGAAAAATGAAGGCAGACGAAGGGTTCCTTAACGTCAAGGAAGAATTATCTGCACACTCCAGATGGCAAAAACTCATACACATAATCATTAGATTACTGT